GGAGCTCGGCTCCGAGCCTAAGGAGCTGATCAGTATCTTAGGATATCATTTTCTTAGGATATCATTTTCTTAGGATATCCGTATCTTAGGATATCAGTATCTTAGGATATCAATATCTTAGGATATCAATATCTTAGGATATCAGTATCTTAGGATATCAGTATCTTAGGATATCAATATCTTAGATGAAAGCAACCACGATGATGAAAGTAGCTATGATGAAGATCAGAGAGCGAAACCCCTGAAACAAGTGACAACAACGTATATAACGATTACATGTTTTTATCGCAAAATATATTACAACTATTCCAGTTCTAACTTATATTCTTGATAAGCTTACTTATGATCTGACTCGGTCATCCTAACAGTATATATGTATGTAGAATATTTGCTAAAATAACGTTGAACAACATGTAAATATTAACCTTAACAACGACGTTGACAACTCGGGATTAGGAACTGTTTAGTTTAAAATATGTCTTGATTTTTGTGACGAATAGATTCCTTATTTGCCATCGTTCGTTTTCGTTCATCATGAGGCAGTCATGTTGTCTTTGACTAGGATGACCAACTTGACAACCATTACAGGATTCCACACAAAGTCTTTCAACTTTTGGCTGCAAAGCGCTCCTGTCTTGTCTAAATCGCTTTCTCTCTTCCCGCACGGATAACCCGCGACGCCCGCGCAATGAATATCCTAATCTACCCGTATTTATCCACACAGTAGAAAAATGCAAATCTCTGATAAAAGTTAATCCTTTAATTAGTGTCACCCTAACAACACTTAGCAACCGGTGTGCTTTAATATAGCTTAAATTTATTAACCTTATCCGAGTTTTAGCACTTAAAAAAAACTACCAATAAAATATAGAAATCGCTTGACAATTATATATCATAACCTCTAATTTCCATGTGTTTATATAACCCTAGACAGCAACATATTCTCTCGTATATAGACCTCATATGCCGGGAAGACCGGGATTTAAATATTAGTTTAATTGTAGATACATAATAACTCTTACCGCATGCTATTTCTCAGGGTTTTGACGCTTGATAATATTTATATATTACTAATTAAAAACAAAACATATAGCTGTATACCCCGAATATATAAGTTTTAGATATATAACACTAATGCTATTTCATATAGTATTAGATTTTTTACTCCTCTAGGAGCTAAATTAAAGGAATCACTTGACAATAACAGCAAAATGCTAGAGCTGTACTTATAAAACTCCAGACAACAACATATTCTCTTGTATATAGCCCTAACTATTGTGTCGCACACGAGGAGGGACGCTAAAAAATGCGTAGTCAGCAAGTTTCAACCGATCGTGTTTAAGCTCGCCCGCGTGACGTCATTGCATGTAATTATGCCGTATGCTAATGATGATGCGCTGCCCCGCGCCGCCCCAAAAATCCGGCCCGAACGGCCCCTATACTAGGTTACCCACAGGGCAGTAATGCTGCCTTTGACAGCAAAAGACAAACTACAGGGTGTTGAACGAGTCCTTCAGAAACATCCTATTATTGTTTAGCCTGCATGGCAGGCGGTTCCTAAAATTGGGCAAGCCTGGGAAATACCGCCTGCCATGCAGGCTAATTATTGTTATCTTTGTTAACCCATTTATTGACAGTACCCTACCACTGACTGAGTATTAAAAATCGTCTGGCGTTGGACAAGGTAAATATTAAAGTAGGGGTCATTACTGTGCTGATGAATTAACAAAATCCATTGGCAGATAGGTTTGTTAACCCATTTACTGGCAGTACCCTATACCACTGACGAGTAAAATCTTCTGGCGCTCGACAAGGGAAGGGCGCATTGCCAGCTAATGGGTTAAACCACTGTGGTTAAACATAAGATTTCATGATGCTCCAGGAAATGTAAACAAGCTATCAGTGTGACATCCCAGTTTATATATTTATATACTCGGAATATTGATTTCTCGGTACATACAAAATTATTTTAAAGTATAACAACCAGCGAAGACATAAGGCACTAACTACCCTGCGCGGCTGCGCGCAGACTATATAATGACATATATATGCCATCCGTCCGGTCCGTCCGTCGCCATCCATCCGTCCGTCATTCATCCGTCCGTCATTCATCCGTCCGTCCGTCCGTCCGTCCGTATCCGCGTTTTATCCTAACCCGTTTTTAAAACACAAAGTTTGCATAATTAAGGCAGTGCGGTTCGTCATGATCAACATTTTCAAAAGCGGCCAATTAGACCAGGGGTTAAAGGGCAATGACAATGACATGCAGGTGACATTTAACATTGCGTCCCACTAATTAAAATTTGCGTGTTTAATAATGTTTATCAAAAAAGCAAAAATGTATACAAGACAATCTCACATGTCGAATTTTTTCACTTACGTACTGCCTTGTGATGCAGTACAAGTATAAATACAAATGACAAAGCATTTGTAAATCCTAAAACATAATTAAATCATACGGCACATTCAAGATTTTAATATCGTATTTCAGCCGCGCGTTTATACTGCTGGCGCATTCGCTGCGTTATATTCATTTATATACACAGAAAAACATGTCATTGTCTTTGCGGACCATAGGCAAAAAGCATTCGTCAACCACATACCAAATGTAAGCAATCGTTAAATCATATACATGTCATGGAAAGAATATGAAAATAATGTTGAATGAAAGCTAGCATCGCGTATAATGTTAAAAGCACCGCATATAGTGCTCGAACTACTGCGTATAATTGCAAAAGCACCGCGTATATAAAAATAGGTACGCAGTGCGTACATGTTGCATGCCATCAACCTCATGACTCAGAATCCTATACTGAAGTCCATCTGATGCATTGTGTTCTGCGTAAGCGCTATTCGTCATGATTCGTTACTTGGCAAATACTGTAAACAGAAGCAGTCGCTGCCAGGTCCCAGCCAGTGCGCCCCCCTGGACGTCCACCATTTTGAATATTATCAGTGGGATTGAATGCCTACCAAACACATACCGGCCATTTTGATGACGAATTACGGTCACGTCAAAATCATTGGAAAATCATAGGAAAAACCACGAAATCGGGCTTCTGTATGACCCACTCTGTGCCCTCAATCGTCCACAAAATATTTGAGACAAACTCCCTCCCAGTCCGGCAGATGGAAGCCGAAAATAAGCGAATACTTACGGTTGTTTGGGACAATTCGTTTTTGGTGTAGAATTGAAGCTTGAAACATGCCGAATGCAAATTTGATTGTTGGATTGTCTGAAATTTCTTGAGAAACGATTCCAACACGATTCTTTGCTGGCTTTTCCCCCTCTTCGAGTTGTAAACAAATTTTCGAAAAATTAATGCGCCCGCGCTATTTTGTCAGCACAAGCTTGAAACGTCATGTAAGAGGAAACGGGAAGAGATGCAATTAAGAGCTGTTATTTTCACAATTATTTTCAAAATACTTTTTTTTAGTATTTTATTGTTTTTGCTTATTACTTTCAAGCTTTAAGTAGCTGTTGCCCCGGCATTAACAAGTTCTGCACACACTTATTTAAACAACAGCTGATATAATTTATGAACTTGCATGTGCTCGTGTTGACGTCTTTATTATAAATATTATAAATATTATAAATATTATAAACATTATAAATGTTAAAAAAATTATAAATATTATAAATATTGTAAATATTATAAATATTATAAATATTATAAATATACTTTATAGCTAGGCCTAATTGACTTTGTATACTTGCTATTTTTCCATATATAGTTTTTATAATATTAGATGTAATAATTTATGCTAAATTTATAAAGAGTTATTTTCCAAATAGTTACAGTTCGAAAATGTCTGAAAAGAGAAAGCGTCTATCAAACGTTAAAATTAATTTAAATCGCACTCCTCCCAAAAAGAAAAAGGAAGAAGAAAGTTGTGTTTGTCTGATACAATGTAAAGAACGTGATAAATCGGCAACAATTACAAAATTCAGCGAGAAATCACGTAAATCAGTTTACAACGCAGCAAAAATCAGGAATGATGCCAATGTAGTTTCAATATTAGATGATTATGGTGATAATTTGCCAACATCACAATATGGTTTCCATCGAAAATGCTACCAGGAGTATACCCATTCAAAGGCGTTAAAAAAATTGGCGGGAAAGTCAGATGAATTAAAACAATGCGGGTTTTCTCAAGAAACTGAGGCATGTCGGTCATCGGGTCGAAAGTCCAATCGGGCAGGTTTGT